ATATCAAATTGGGTGCAGGCCTGTCAGGAGGACGCCCAACCTCCTTAAAAAAGGTACAGAAACACACAAGGGATCCCGCACATCCCATTGGCAGCTGAGAAACCCCATGCGTCACTGCACCAAATCGGTAAAGCAAAACAAACAACAAACGCACTCAACAATTTGTTACCAGTTGTACAGTAAGGTGCACACGAAATGGGCTTTCTGCAGAAGACGTGTATCCAAACCTCTGTCATTGTCCTTAGTGGTGAGACAAGTTGTTTTACATGCTGGTTTGTGAGTGTGCCATGATGCCTTTCCACTGTTCTACTTTACAACACACACACAGGGACCATGGGGAACAGAAGTAGCCACACTGCAGAATAAAGGACAGTGTCAGCAGGAATTCAGAGATGATTTAAGGATCTTCAGCCAAACGATACACGAATAAGATACATTTGTATTAATAGTTAAGGGACTTAAATGCTTTTTTAAGATTTAACTCCTGATTTTAGTGTCACTAAGTGAAGAAGTTTTTGCGTTCCAAAACTTGAGTACGACGAACATCTTTCACTGTTATGTACATCTCAGGGGTGTGGAAATGTTTTCAAAAAACTACTTGGTAAAGGACTAAAGCGGGGGCCCAGACTACTTGCCCTCATGACAATCTACTTGTCATGATACAAAAAAACAATTTTAACCAAAACCATTTTTAACATTGCAAAGAAGCACTTCTCATTGGTCAGGTGACCGCACAGACCAATGAGTGCTCGCAATTTGCGAGCGGAATTCAAAATCCATAGTGCCGGGCTGTGCAGGATGACAGTACGGGGTACGGATAATACACCCGCACTGGCAGAGGGGAAGGACTGTTTGCCTGAAGGCAAGTATAGCAGGGGGGAGATTGGAGTGGGCAATGCCAATTTCCCAAATTATTTGGTAAAGGGAACTTACCCTTTAACACACATTATGCATGTTAGAGAGCACTGTTGCCCGGCTAGCACAATATGGCACACAGTGGAATGGCAGCAGCACTCAGCGCACACACAATGCCTTATGCAGTGGCGTCACTAAAATTACAGTTCTCCGGTCTGCTCAACCACTCTCCATCCTGGGAGACCCGGAACCAGGGCAAATGACATCAGGAAGGAGAGTGGAAAGCAGACGGGAAAAAAGTATGTTCTCCAATCTACTCTTGCCTGTGTGATCAGTGAAACAGAAGCGCTGTACTCAGGCTGCATCCTGTCTCAGCTGTCACAACCCGGGCTGCACAGAAGATCCAGAACAATGCTGTGCTCGACCTTCTGTATTGGAAGACAGGCTACAGAAACAGAACCTGTCACCTCCAAATGCTATCACAAAGGGGCTTGTTAGCCCGTGTGACAGAAATAAAGTTAAGTGGGGAAAAAAAGAAAAGTGAAAGTAAAAAATAAATATAAAATAAAAAAAAAGTAGTGATTAAAAATAATAAAAAAGTTAAAGAAAAAATGTAAACCAACCCGCCACCTGCATGCATATAAAGCATGCATAGGGCAGTTGTGTGTGCCGAGTACCGACTATTCCACTGGGTGCCATATTGTTGAAGCCGAGTAGCAGCGCTCTCTAACACGCTCAATGTGCAAGTAATTTGGAAAAATGGACCCCATCAAGTGCAGCCTTGCCATCCAGTGCAGCCTTGCATTGTGGATTTTTAATTTTGCTCACAAATTGCATGCTGACCAATGAGAAGAAGCGCTTCATAGCACAGTTAAATACAGCTTTGATCAAAATTATTTTTTCATATCAGGACAAGTAGATTCTCATGAGGGACAAGTAGATTGGGCCCCCGCTTTAGTCCTTGGACAAGTAGCTTTTCTTTATAAAAGAAATATGGGGTAACCTTTTTATCCCACGGTTCTCTTTAGGGTCACGGGAGGACATATACTAACGTCCTCCCAAGACCCAAAACTCAGTATATAGCTCGCTATATACTGAGAGCGCCTCAGCAGGGACAGATCCTGACAAAACTGTTGAGATCCACCCAGCTGGCTGATTGACAGCAGGCTCTGGCTATCTAGAGGCAGGGCCAGCTGTGCCCGCCCCCTCCCTCGTCCGTTCCTCCACTCAGCGCTGGAGGATCGGGGAGGGGGGAATGCCTGCGGGGAACGGTGACTGACAGTCACTGCTCTCTCCAGCGAGATGATCAGGAAGTGAGCAAACGGAGATATGCGTTTGCTCACTTCCTGATCAATAGAGCCAACGTGTGACAGTTTCAATGTCACACGTCGGTTCTAACTATGAGAGTGTAAATCACTAACCTCATAGTTCTCCTTTAAATTTCCACACCCGTGTACTACTGAGGGGCAAACAAAAAGATACATATCCAACATGAAACAGTGACCAGCACTTGATATTAGTAAACAAATATCAGTTAAGAATCCCCTGAGAAAATATTGTGACACAACCTCTAAAACATCTGACAAAGGCCAGTGCTTCAACAAACAGACAAATATCCATGTCAGGGCTGCTATAACAATGCACAGCTCAAGATACAATATTGTACGCAGTCTAAATTAACTAAAGCCAATACTGCCTTTCCTTTTTAAATAGGAGTAGGGATTTTGTTTTTTTGCCATCCATTTCCCATTTGAGAGATTTCTCTTCACTTTGTCCTATGGACAACAGAAGTAAGGAAAGCACACCAAAGTGAAGTAATCCCCTTTTAGTTGTCATCAGAACTAGTGTCCCCATGCAAAGATTCATCTGCTGCTCCCATTCCGGTGATCACACAAAATGCTGGATTTTCTGTCATTTTCAGTCCTAATGACAATAATTACCAAGACAAAAACACACAGGGTGAATCTCCCCAAAAGGGACACAGGCCACAACAGAAATCTGACAGGGGTTCTAACACCTCACCACTCTATTCCAAACACCTTTGGAGTTGGATACACTTTATAAAACGACTTGTATATCTACATGATCTGATCTGAAGTGTATAGTGAGGTAGAGAGATCCTGTGTGTACTCTAAATACTAAATCATGTGCAGGAGATGGGCCCGGTTCACACCTGTGCGGTGCATGTTAGGAGTGTTGTGTTTTACATGCGTTGCCATTTAATGCAATAACATGTTTGGACGAAAGTGTATCAAAGATGTAGCAAGCTGGAGTTTCTTTTAACGCACCTAACTAACGTCTCTGCATGTGAATGGATATTTCTAATGGACGCAGATTCACTTCACACTTTATTATTTCACCCTCTGTGTGTGTAAATCAGAAATTGCTGTGCAGCCAATCCTTGGTGCAAATGCCACTATCTGTATGGAGTTTGTATTGGTACCCTTAGTGGTTAGCACTCTTGCCTTCTAGCAATGGGGTGCTTGGTTTGAATGCCATCCAGGACACTATCTGCACTAAAAGAACTATGGGGTAACCTTTTTTCCTATAGTTCTCATTCGGGTTAACACCCTCCCTGACCCTAAACTCAGTATATAGCGGGCTATTACCACAGCTGGGAGGGATCCCGACAATACTGTTGAGATCCACCTCGCTGGCTGATTTGACAGCTAGCTCTGCCTATCTAGAGGCAGCTGTGCCCTCCCCTTCCCCAAATAAGCGCTAGAGAAACAAAGAGGGGAGAATCCCTGCGGGACAGTCACTGCTCTCTGCAGGGAGATGATCGGGAAGTGAGCGAGCGGCTGTAGGATTTCGCTCACTTCCTAATCAATAGAGCCGACGTGTGACAGTTTCAATGCCACGTCGGCTCCAACTATGGGGATGAGTGTAATTCACTCACCCCATAGTTCTCCTTTAAGCTTGCATGGGTTTACATAGTGATAAATACTCCTGCCTTGCAGTATTGGAAACATTGGTTCTAATCCCAGCCAGGACACTATCTGCATGGAGTTTGTATGGGTACCCTTAGTGGTTAGCACTCATGCCTTGCAGCACTAGGGTCCTTGGTTTGGATCCTAACTAGGACACTATCTACATGGAGTTTACATTGGTTTTCTTAGTGGTTAGCACTCATGCCTTGTAGCCCAGGAGTACATAGTTCCAATGCCAACTAGGACACTATCTGCATTGGTGGTTAGCACTCCTTTGCAGAAGTAGGGTCCTCCGTTCAAATATCAACCTGCATGGAGTTTGTACACGATTAGCAAGCATTCCTTGAAGCACTGGAGTCCTCGGTTTGAATCCCAACCAAGACTATCTCTGCAGGGAGTTTGCATGCTCTGCCAGTGCTTTCATGGATTTCAGCCAAGGCTTCAAAGACATGCTGGTAATTAGGTATAGATGTATAAAACACATGTGAGACCGTGGAAATCCATAACAAGGTGAAACGTGACAGCCACACAACATGACAATACTGCCTTTAATCACAGAGATGAGACGGGTCAGGGGGATCTTCATACCGGTCTACAAGAAGAAAATAGCTGGAGAATCTGAGAGAATGACACAGTTTCTCCTGCGCTAACTGCAGTCACTGTGATCGGAGAGATGAGATGGGTCAGGGGGTTCCTGTCCTCCCCGGTCAGAGTGACAGCTTGTAAATCAATGCAGTGATGTATCCGTCCAGGAGGGGAAGGCAGCTGTACTCCCTGCAAGCTGTCACTATCCAATTCCCCCCTCTGCAGGATCGCCGATAACACGCACAGGAATCCCCCGAGCACGGGAATCACAGCGCACGGATCTGCCAGGAATCCGATCAGCAGGCCAGCTTAGGCTGGCACAAATACATACGATTACCGACACAACAAGGGGGAGTCGCCGTTGTTGCTATGACAACAGCACGGCAAGTCTACATGTGCGGCCGGGCCTTGCAGAGCACGGGGGGAGGCGGGGATTTCCAGGCCGGCTCATCCGTTTCCCCCCGGGTTCGGTTCCAGTCATCAGCTGCGGGGCCGCCATCTTTATTCTCGCTGCCTACAAGCCGAGGTGGTGGAGGAGGGAGTCACCGAGAGCTGTCACACGGACGGGCTTCCCCCGGCGCGGCCGGGCCAGGCTGCACGGGACGAACGGACACATACATACACACTCACATTTAATCGCCCGCTCGGTGGTGGATTGTTTACCGTCCTTGGTGGACATGGCTCGGGCTGGGGTGGCCGCTCCCTGCAGTCGGTGACTCGGCGGCGGCCTCCTCCTGGCGGCTCCGGACTGTCAGGGGAGGGAGGGGAAAGGGAGGACACGAGCGGGGCACGGCTAGAGGCGGACGGTAGCGGCTGCTGGCAACATGGCGGCGTCAGCGCAGACTCTGCGGCTCACACAGCGCGGGAAGGGGGATGTCCCGACCCAGCATGCACCGCGCCGGCTCTCCCCTCACACGGGAGGAGTCGGGGAGATGCCGTGTCTGCTGACACACTGAGGGCACCCGGCTGCCTGGCCTCAGGGGGAGTGCTGTGACCTGCCGAGCAAAACTCATCACTCTCTGACAGTAGGGAACTGCACTGTGGTTGCCATGGGCTACTGCTCCTGCCAATCACTAGTCTTCTGTGATAGAGGGAACTGACCTGTAGTGACCAATCACCCTCCGTTCACACCTGTCCGAGAAAAGGAATCCCATTGCTTACAGTGTGTTACACTTCTGAGGAACAGGCGCTTCTTTTGGTGTGACATAGTGCGTTTTTAGCCCCATAGACATAAATGGGAGCTCAGGAAAAAGCACGTAACATGCACGTTAATGCTTTTACACGCATTACTCCTGCTAGGAACCTATACAGTACTTTATTTCACCTTCATTGGCAAAAACAATAATGCATGGAAATCAGACAGATCCAATCGAAGCAGTTCGGCCTTCATGTGACAATGCAGGACAAAGGAAATTCTAGTATTTTCTATGGGGCCCATTTATACATATACAACACGCAGGGGCATAACCAGAAATCACAGAGCCCCCATAGCAAAGCTTTGTACGCCCCCCCAAAAAAGGAATTAGCTCCAGAACATGTTCCCGCTCACTGCTGCAGAGCCCACCAGAGGTATTGCGGAGCCCACCCAAAGCCCAGGGGAGTGCACTTGACACCCTGCACAACCCACCTGAGACCCTGCACAGCCCACTTGAGATTTTGCAGGGCCCACTTGAAAATGCACATACCAGAGACCCTGCAGAGCCCACCCGACACCCTGCAGAGCCACCTGAGACCCTGCACATACCAGAGACCACCTGAGACCTTGCGCATACCAGATACCTTGCACAGCCCACCTGACACGCTGCAGAGCCCATTTGAGACCCCACACATACCATAGACCTCACCGAACCCACCTGACACCCTCCAGAGCTCACTTGAGACCCCACACATACCATAGACCTCGCACAGCCCACCGGACACACTCCAGAGCTCACTTGAGACCCCACACATACCCTGGACCTCACACAGCCCACCTGACACCCTCCAGAGCTCACTTGAGACCCCACACATACCATAGACCTCGCACAGCCCACTTGACACACTCCAGAGCTCACTTGAGACCCCACACATACTATAGACCTCATAAAGCCCACCTGATACCCTGCAGAGCCCACTTGAGACCCCACAGATACCATAGACCTCGCACAGCCCACCTAACACCCTCCAGAGCTCACTTGAGACCTCGCACATACCATAGACCTCACACAGCCCACCTGACACACTCCAGAGCTCACTTGAGACCTCGCACATACCATAGACCTCACACAGCCCACTTGACACCCTCCAGAGCTCACTTGAGACCTTGCATATACCATACACCTCGCACAGCCCAACTGACACCCTTCAGAGCTCACTTGAGACCCCACAGATACCATAGACCTCGCACAGCCCACCTAACACCCTCCAGAGCTCACTTGAGACCTCACACATACCATAGACGTCACACAGCCCACCTGACACCCTGCAGAGCCTACTTGAGACCCCACACATACCATAGACCGCACACAGCCCACCTGACACCCTGCAGAGCCCACTTGAGACGCAGTACATACCACAGACCCTGCACAGCCCACCTGACTCCCTGCAGAGCCCACTTAAGAACCCGCACATACCAGAGACCCTGCAGAGCCCACCTGACACCCTGCAGAGCCCACTTGAGACCCCCGCACATATCATAGACCTTGCAGAGTCCACCTGAGACCCCTTATAGCCCACTTGAGAGTGACCCTGCAGAGCCCACCATAGACCCCATAGCCCACTTGAGACCCCGCACATATCATAGACCTTGCAGAGTCCACCTGAGACCCCTTATAGCCCACTTGAGAGTGACCCTGCAGAGCCCACCATAGACCCCATAGCCCACTTGAGACCCCGCACATATCATAGACCTTGCAGAGTCCACCTGAGACCCCTTATAGCCCACTTGAGAGTGACCCTGCAGAGCCCACCATAGACCCCATAGCCCACTTGAGACCCCGCACATATCATAGACCTTGCAGAGTCCACCTGAGACCCCTTATAGCCCACTTGAGAGTGACCCTGCAGAGCCCACCATAGACCCCATAGCCCACTTGAGACCCCGCACATATCATAGACCTTGCAGAGTCCACCTGAGACCCCTTATAGCCCACTTGAGAGTGACCCTGCAGAGCCCACCATAGACCCCATAGCCCACTTGAGACCCCGCACATATCATAGACCTTGCAGAGTCCACCTGAGACCCCTTATAGCCCACTTGAGAGTGACCCTGCAGAGCCCACCATAGACTATCTATGGTGGGCTCTGCAGGGTCTGAGGTGGGCTGGTCACACCCCTGCACACCTCATACCTGTTAGCCCTGATCCGCTGTCATCCCTCTCCACGGTCGATGCAGGGCTCGGGCCCCGCCTCCTCCACCCTCGGGCCCGGCCTCCACCAATGCCACTGGGCCTGGCCTCCTCCTCTGCAGCTGGGCCTGGCCTCCTCCTCCTCACCAATGCCGCTGGGCCCGGACTCCTTAGAGGCATAGCATGGGGATCAGAGGCATAGAATGGGGCTCTTGGCTCTCCAGCATTCTTCTTAGGCCTCATTCACACCACCCTCAGTGCGGTCCGGCCCGATTGTGGCTGGAACGCACTGGATTACATTGCAGCCGGCTCAGTTTGTTGTGGAGCGGGAGGGAGCGTGGCGGTCCATTGAAGTGAATGGCACTGGAGACGCGCCGTCTGGCTGCAATGCGATCGGCAGGCATTGATTTTTGCAAATCTATTTGGATGGAGTTTAGTATGTTTTTATGGGTCGGCGAGCGGTGGGCATTGTGATTGACGAGGATTTACATCGCTGGACAAGGTGATTGATGATGAATTTACATTGCGGAACATTTTTCTTTTAATTATTAAAGGATCTGTTAAATTAGTGTGGTGTATTTATTTACTATTTTAATGTTTATTTGGTGAATGAGTAGGGGTAACAACTACCCCTTACTCATTCATGGGGGGGGTGGCATGTGGGTGACCCTTGTAAAAGAGGGTATCCAGATTCAGATAAGCCACCCTGCCCACAGAGCCCCACAACCACCGGGCCAGGGTTGTGGGGAAGAGGTCATTGTCCCCTTGGCCCTGCCCCATGTTGAGGGCAAGTGGATTTATATGGTGCAGGAAGGGAGTGCTGCATGATCGTTCCGCCCCCATTCCTGCTCTGCCAGGGTGCAGGGCGGGTATCCAGATTCAGATAAGCCACCGGCCCAAAGAGCCCCACAACCACCGGGCCAGGGTTGTGGGGAAGAGGTCCTTGTCCCCTTGGCCCTGCCCTATGTTGAGGGCAAGTGGACTGATATGGTGCAGAAAGGAGTGCTGCATGATCGTCCCACCCTTTTCCTACTCTGCCAGATCAAGGTTCTGGTAAGGGGTTTTGGGGGGGACGCCAAACTTTTTTTTTTTTTGGTATGGGGTTCCCCCATAAAATTCCTACCAGACCTGAAGGGTCTGGTATGAATTTGGGCAAGACTCCATACTGTCTTTTTATTTTCACGTTTAACAATACATCAGTTCATTATGGATGACATTCTGACAAAATTTAGCTGCATCCGAATTTCCGTTATCAAAAATTCGGATATGTTCAAATATGTTATTTTTCCCACTCGACAATTTAGATGCATCCGAATTTTAGGATTTACTGATTTTCCTCTGAATGTCAGTCCGGATGAGAATAAATAAACAAGTCTACTAGTTGACCCATATGCCTATGGTTTCTGTATCAATTTCACAATCTTCTATGGCTATAATTACTCCTTGCCCAGAATGTTTTGACAGATGCTGAAGGAAGCTGAACTGTCGCCTAGATTCTGCATTTAGTGTCAGCTGCGGGTCATTGTGATCCTTCCAGAGCACAAAGGTTCCTGTCCTTTCTGTGATCAGATCAGCATTCCCCATTCAGCACAGTGCCTATGTATCCCACCACCATCAGATTTACCTATGGGTAATAGCTACTAGCCTTAAAGCTAAAATGGCATGTTTGCTTCTGTCAGGTCTTGTGCTCACAAGGCTTTTGTCACAGAAAATGTCTAAACCATCTTGCATATCACTCTTCTTAGCACAGTGTTTAAGATATATGTGAACACAGTCACTAAAATCTCATATAATCATGTTAATGTAGTTTCAAAAGTAATTTTCGATCCCTAGTGATCCTGCCAAGAAAGCCCATGTTCAGGCACTTCCTGCTATATGTTGACAAACATTAGTCGCTGTCACCCGATTGTGCTCTTGCATTGTCACAAATACTTTTTTTCAACGCACATAATGCAGGCATGGTCCATTCTTGTCACCTTGTGGAAACCCGCTGTGTGAAATGCAATGCAGCCATCACATGGCAGGACATGGCTGCATGAGATCAGCTGCACTGAGATGCAACAAAGCAGTGGCGTAACATTCGCCATAGCGGCCCAGGCGGCCGCTATGGGGCACAGGGGGACACGGCCAGATGCCGATTGGACCGCCTGGGTCGCTATGGCATCCTCTGCTGGTGGCTTTCACTGGCGGCTCTGAAGAAGAATGCGCTGCTGTTCAGATCACTGACCTAATCTGTGCAGCAGCACGTTCATCTCCAGAGCCGCTGCTGAGTCAATGAGAGCCAGCAGCGGCGGTAGAGGAGGCCGTGCACGGCAGGGGAGGAGGAGGCGGGCCGTGATTGACAGCCGGTGAGGAGGCGGGGCCCGTTGACGGAGAAGGAGGCAGGCCCGGCGACAAAGGAGGACGCGGGGCCCATCAGCGAGCGTAGAGGAAGAGGAGGCGGACAGGTAAGGAGTGCGACCAGCCCACCTGAGGGTGACCCTGCAGAGCCCATCATAGGGAGTCTATGGTGGGCTCTGCAGGGTCACCCTCAGGTGGGCTGTGTGGGATCTCAAGTGGGCTCTGCAAGGGGTATAACTAGAAATTACAGGGCCCCATACAAAATTTTGCTATGGGGCCCTGTGATTTCTAGTTACGCCCCTGCAACAAAGG